CACCACTCACAGCTCGCCCTGTGGTCCTGGGAGAAGAAAGGACTCCCCGGCACACTCGGTGCCCTGGTTCCAGAACAGAGACAATAAAACCCACTTCCTAGAGAGCTGGGGGATTCCTTACTTGAGCATTTACTCGGTGCCTTGAAGAGGAAATGGGCGAAGAGTTCACTTTTTCCCTTTCTTGCTCTCGGGTTTCCCTAAGCAGGACAAGAGGCCACTGGGTGCTGAGTCCACAGCTTACGTGAAAAGCTCAGGACACTTCCTAAGGGCATGAGGAGCACAGTAACTCTTGCTTGAGTTTCAGCCCATGCAGCATGGAGATGCGATGAATTTGCAGAAACCCTCCTGGGTTGGCTGGATCCCCTTCCAATAGCTGGTCAGAAACTTACACAGTGTCATTTCTATACCTTCATTCACTTACTGCACGAATATCTGTCCAACACCTAGGTGCCAGGGATTCCCTTGGGCACCGGGAATACAACAATAAGCAAAACATCAACAATCCTTTCATTCTAGACTTGCTATCCCACTGGGAGGCTGTGGGGTGAAGGCGCATGATAAATAAAGATAAGTCATATATATCATATGTGAGATGATGGGAAGTGCTAGGGAGGAAGATCAGAGAGTGCCAAGGAGGGGTGGCTACTTGATGAAAGGTGGACAGGGAAGATGACAGTCGAGTGAAATCTTGGAGGGAGGGAGGGAGGCCGGCAGAGGGGTAGGTCAGGATGGAGCGCTTTGGGGAGAGCAAACATCATGCACAGGGCAGCGGGGTCGGGAGCTTATCTGGGGTGCAGCATGGGGGCCAGTGTGGCACAAGTAGAGGAAAGTAAGAAGAGTAGAGGGAGGAGGAAATAGGTCAGTACTGGAAAAGGGGAGCTGTGTGAGTCATAGAGAAACAGGTAGGTTGTTGATACCTGGCTTTTATCTGAATGTGGTATAAGCCCATTGGAGGCAGATGGATGTTTGGATGGATGGAAGGATGGATAAATGGGTGGATGGGTGGATGGGTGGATGGGTGGATGGGTGGATGGGTGGATGGGTGGATGGAAGGAAGGAAGGAAGGAAGGAAGGAAGGAAGGAAGGAAGGAAGGAATAAATGGATGGATGGATAAATAAATGGATGGATGGATGGATGGATAAATGGATGGATGGATGGATGGATGGATAAATGGATGGATGGATAAATGGATGGATGGATGGATGGATGGATAAATGGATGGATGGATGGATGGATATGTTTGCCAGAACAGTCAAGATCCTTGGCTGCAAACAACTAACCTTAACTGAGGCAAAAAGTCAATGTTTGGGATACTGGGTGACTCACAGAACCTACAAGAAAGGTATGAGCAGAGAAGTGACAGGATCCCCCGTACACTGTGACCGGGTGTCTCATCTGGCCCTCCGGATCCACTCTCCATCCTGCTCCATGCCCAGGAGGCCGACCTGGATGGGCTAACACAATGTTTTTTCTTCAGCTGGCAGGAGATCAGAGGGAAGGAAGAGTGTGCTGACAAGGTATTTATCCTCCCGTCCCCTCTCCACAAGGTCACCAGAGGTTGACTGTGTCCCTCTACCCAAGGCCTCAGCTGCTGTCAGGAGACATCTCTTCACACTCTCCAATTTCCAAAAACTGCTCCCTTCCCTCACTCCTTTAGACCCAAGGGTGGTGACATGTCTGGTTTGAGGGTACTGTACCATTTCTCTTCCTAAACACAGGCCACACTTTTGCTGATTGTTCTTCCCCTTAATTGTGAAACCCCCCTGAAATTTCCAGACTTCAATATTGCATTTGTTTGGTACTGTTCCCTGCCCCTGTTGATCTATTCCCCTTTGCTTATGTTTGGTGCCTGATTCAGTGCCTATTAAAGGAATAGATGGGCAAATAGTGGATGGATGGATGGATGGATGGATGAATGGATGGATGAATAGATGGGTTTGACAGAGCCATCAGGATACTTGGTTCCAAACAACTAACCCCAGTTGAAACAAAATACATACCCATGATCCTGGATCAGTCCTAAATCCTACAGGAGGAAGGCACCCTATAGGACCAAGCAGCGGACTGCGCATCGGAAGGAGCTCCGTTTGAGGGTGGCTCTGGGTTTGACTTATGGCAGAGTCCAGGGCAAGTCCCTTAGCTCCTGATGGCCCAGTGTCTCCCCAAGGTGGGAAATATCAAGGTTAATCATGTGGCCGCTAATCCGCGGGCTGGGGTGGAGCTGGGGCCAGAGATCCTGATTGTTAAGCTCTGCCTGATGCCAGAATGAAAGGGAGTCTATAAAAGCAGTTGAGCTATTAGGGCGGAGGTGGGTCGGTCCCGGCTTCAGGCGGTGGCTAGAGAAGGCCTGGGGATCCGTCTGCATGAAAGTGTCACTGCACAGGCAAGCTGTGATTAATCAGCACTGTCATTAGCCTTCCCATTACTGGCATGCTGGCCTTCCCCAGGTGGAGGCCTCATAAAAGCACCCTCCACTGTAACCAGAACAAAGTCCCAGGCTCATAACCCCAAACGACTCAATCGTCCACCATTCAAACTCCTCTGCACTAGCAGGAGGTGTGTAACTACTGTGTGCCAAGCCCTCCCCATGTGGTGTCAAATATACCCTCGTAGTAACAGCCCTGAAGGTTCGGTGCTGTCTCCCACTCTTGAGCTGTAAGTCTGGACACTGTGACCCTGGGTGATGATGTGATGGCTGAACTGTGACAGAGCCGGGACCCTAATGCCAAGCCTGGAGCTCCTCCCACCCTGTCCCACACCTTCTGGGTCTTCCCTGACCCGACACATCGTCTCTGGACACGTGAAGACGCTGGGAGGCAGGGGAGGTCCGGACAGAAAAGACATCTGGCCCCTGTGTGTGCTTCCTCTCCCTCCTGCTCTTCCCACTGGATTCCTCTCCTTTGTTTCCCCACCAAGCTTCTGGTTTCTGCCACCTGTGGGGACAGGGCACGGGTTTCTCAAGGACAGAGTGTGGCAGGATCTTGGCAATGCCCAGAGGAACAGACCTGTAGAGCATGTGAGGAATGGAAAGGACGTCTTTGTATAGATTCACGAAATACTGGAATTTTCCTCCAGCTCTGTCCTCAACTACAAACCCGTCAACCCCTCGTCTCAGGGCTGCCAAGTCCATTGGAAATGTTCTGCACCAAGAGGCCTGCCACGTGGGGTTCTATGTAAGACCACCCACATCTCGAGAACCATAACCCGGTCTTCCCATCTGTGGAATGGGAATAACTCGCTTCCTTAAGATTAAGAAAGAGCATGAGAAAATGCTTTTTTCTCTTCTCTTCTAATTTTCCCCAAGTAATTGCATCAAACCATGCATTTAGCAACTCCTCCCCTCCCTTCCTTCCTTCCTTCCTTCCTTCCTTCCTTCCCTCCCTTCCTTCCCTTCCTTTTCAAGCACCTACAATGCGCCCAGTTCTGCTCTAGGCCCTGGAGATAAGGTCAAGAATAAGACATATCTACAGATGATGTTTTATAGAATCGTACACCTGAAACCTAAATAATTTTATTAACAGTGTCACCCCAGTAAATTCCATTTTTAAGAAAGAGCAAGACGTACCTGCCTCTCTGTGTGCAGAGGGGCCCTCGCCCCCCTCACCTTCTCCCAGAGCTCTGTGAACCAAAAGGCTGCAGCGCTATGATGCGTTACAAGGTAGAAAACCAGGTCTCCCTCTTGGAGCATGTGCAAAGAGTAGTGTTGTTCTTTTTTACTCCATTCAGTCCAGCTAACGTTTCCTGTGTTCCCACCCACACACCAGTGTGTTTAGACATGGCCCCATGAATTCCTTCTGACCTTTGTGGGCTTTGTGGGTCCCCAAGCCACCCTCCTCCTCCTGCTTCTATTTCTCCATCTATAAAGTGGGACCATGATCACCCCCAAAGACAGCATCAGAGTCACGAGATGAGGAGACCAGCATGCTTTGGGCTCCCTGAAAAAGGCTGGGGCCAGGAGCTGTGGGGGCTGACATGTGGCTGCTGCCTGTGACAATGTGGCTTCCCCTTTTGCTCCCCGGAGCCCAAGAGGTCTAAAGGGACACTCTGGTCCCCCAGGTTGAGGCATCAGAAAGCGGGCAAGGTCCCAGGGTTATGGACTGAGGGAAGGGAGGGTGATGCACGCGCTTTTACTTCCGGGTCACCGGTTCCAGTGCAGCCTGGCAGATCTCAACCGAAAGTTACTGCCATCTGCTCCGTGACCTCAATCCATTTGCTGCCGTGCACATTGTAACCAGCAGGCCCAGTGCACAGAATGGCACTGACCAAAGCTGAAAATGGGTCATTCCCAAGAGCCTCAAGGGCTGGTCTGGGCCCTCAACTGGAGCTTGGGATACGCAGGGAGAGATCTGGGACTTGTCATCTAAAATACTAGCTCTAAGGGTAGCGGGTGGAAGGTCTGGTCCACAAGGAAGCTTTGCAGCCTCTCTCCCACCCACCCCTTGGCCCTGGGTCCCAGCAAACCACACGATGTAACATCCCCATTCGCAGGGACCAGATGTCAGAGAAATCAGAGCTGACATAATTGGGCATAAGGTCAATTTCCCATATTAATAAAAGCTGTTTATCAAAAGCCTAGTGTCCCCAGCAAGGAGCTGGGCTCCTTAACCTATGTCACCTCATGCAAACCTCAGCCAAAACCCAGGAAATGCACTCTCACTTCCAACTTCCAGACAAGGAAACCGAGGCTCAGAGAGGCATAGAAATTCCCCAAGGTCACACAGCCATAGGCGGCGGCGGGTCAGCATTGGAACTCAAGAAGCCGTTGTTTGATGGGTACAGGGTTTCAGTCTGAGATGGTGGGGAAGTTCTGGACGTGGATGATGGGAGCCCAACCGTGTGAACATTCTTAAAGCCACTGAACCACACCCTTCCAAACAGTTAAAATGGTCAATGTCATTATGTAGATGTTACTAGAATACAATGAATTCATTACAGATATCGTCCAAAAATGGAGAAGAAGGTATCAAATGTACATTTCCTGGGGACCCAACAAACTCACTCTTAGATGTGATGGTAATGAACAGTGGCAGCATCCACAGGGACCAGGTTTAATGGGGTGTATCCATTCGATGGAACACTATACAGCAGAGAAAACACAACAGGTCTGTATGGCTAATATGGAGAAGTCTCAGGAATATCGTTAAGCAAGAAAATAAAATAAAGTTGCTTGTAGACTTACATATACAGTAGAACTCTAACACACACACAAATGTGCCCTTTATTTTCTGCTCACGTGTGCATGAAGTCGGTTCTGCTTGTTTGGAAAAGACAAATGTGTTGCAATGCGATTGATATATTTGGGAACAATCCACACAGAACCAAATTCTGTGTTTGCTCAGGCAAGATCTCCTCCACAAAAAACTCTGGGTCAAAGCCAAAAATCGCGCCCAGCCGAACGGACCCAAAACAAACACCCCGCAAACAGCTGCCGGCCGCCCCAGCCTGTTGTGGACGCTAGGACACCCACCCGCCTGGATGACACGGCCTGGGCTCACAGGCTGGGCTCACGGGCACAGCCTCTTTCTACCGTTTCACAAGAAGTCGCAAGCTGCAACCCTTCGGATGCCAGGGGGACATCAGGATTCTTCCAAAGTCGAGTTCCATATTTTTTATAGCATGTATATACTTTTTAACCATTTCACGTATGTAACACGAAGCCGTCATTTTTATGAGGTTCCTGCTTTTTTATGTCACTGACCAAATTTCTGAGTATTGCCCTTGGTCCTATTTTTCTCATAAGCGCTATTTTTACTGTGTGATTTTGCATAACATGGTGATTTTAAAAGTGTAAATGTCACATTATAGCAGAATCGACTATACACACATAACTTTTTCTAAATATGTATACGTGTGTATACACAAATGCATACATATGGGTTCATAGATAAAGGCTAAATTGACAGCAATTAGTACATCATCAGTGTGGGGGTTAGAGGAGGGGGCAAAAGTGGCTTTTGTCTTATCTGTAGAGATTTAATTTTTTCCAAAGAATGTCATTAAATTTAATACATACAAATATGAAATCGTTATGCTGTTCATCCGAAGCCGATATTATGTTGTATGGCAATTATGCCTCAATCTAAATGAATCGGTGTTATTAATTTTATGAATCGTGTGGCTAAATTTTTTCTTTTAAATAAACGACCTATTATTTCTATACTCACGTTTATAGCAACACGGTTTACAGCGGCCAAGAGGTTAAAGTGACTCAAAAGTCCGCTGAGGCGGACAAATGGATAAACAAAGTATGTCTAGGCTCAAGATGGAAGGTCATTCAGCCTTTTAAAGAAGAGGAATCCTCTCACTCACTACAACCTGAATGAACCCTGAGGACATTATGCTAAGCAAAATGAGCCAGTCACGAAAGGACAAACACCATGCGATTCCACCCCTACCAGGCACCTAGGAGTCAAACTCATAGAGACAGGAAGTAGAGTGGTGATTGACAGGGGCTGGGGGAGGCGGGGACAAGCAGTTACTGTTGCTTAATGGGTGCAGAGTTTCAGTTTTGCAAAATGAAGAGAGGCCTGGAGATCCGCCGCACACCAAAGTGAATGGACTTAACACCACCGAACCACACCCTTGAAAATAATTAAGATGGTCAAGTTTACGTTACATGATTTTTTTAAAAATCACATTTAAAAAAAAAGTGCTTCAGGACCCACGGTAATAAACTAGCAGGCCACAGGAAAAGTCACTTGAATAAAGCAACACACGCACAAGCTACCCAAAAAGATGCGGAACGTGGCCTGTTTCCCGTGGCGTCTAGAGCGGCGCTTGGCCCACTGTGAGAGAACATAATACCGACTGGGTAACTCTGGCTAGTCAGCCCATAGGGGCGGTTGGTTGATTGATTGGTTAAGGCATGATGCCCCACCCAGCGGCCTAACATGAGACCTGAGTCAGGAGGACTCCATAAATAACACGCTAACGATACGGCTGTTCTGTCCGCGGGGCCAGGCATCCAGCAAAGGGCTGGTGGCTTTGCTCCCGTGAAACCAGAGCCTGCCTGGTTTCGCGGAGGTGAAAGGTGCCCAGAAGCCTGGGACCGGAGCACGCATGCAGACACAGGATTGTGGGGCCCAAGGGGTACAGGTCAGCCAGCACCTCGAGACCCTGTCCCATTCGCCACCCCCAGATGCCCCCAGTGGCCCTGCCAGCTGCTCCGGGAGAGAGGCCCCGGGGATGAAATAGCAAGCCTGCGTGCGTGCGTGCCACAGAGAGGGGGGGCGATTTTGGCAGGCCGGCGTGGGAAGCTGGAGGAACACCTGCCTCTGGGGTGTGTGGGAGCAGCCCCGCTTCCCCGGGGCCCTGAGTGATCCTCAGACGTGCCCTGGGCTCTAGCCACCACTTCTGCAGCAATCAGAGCGATAGCCCACATCTGCCACACTGATGAGCAGCAGACAGCAGTTCCAAGCATTTGTGAGCCACTGGGGGAAGGAAAGGCCACTGCAGCCAGCTTGTCCTGCCACAGGGATGGGCAAGCGCCATCTCCTCACTCAGAGATCCCTTCCCACCTCTTGGCCTCATGACTCTCAGGCAACCTTCAAGTTTCAGCTAGTGCCCCCTCCTCCAGGAAGCCTCCCTGGCCTGCCTCTCCATCCTGTGCCCCATAGCCACTGTATGAAACCCTTACATTTGCAAACCCGACCCCATGCCCAGCCTACTGCCTGGCACAGAGTAGCTGGTTAACGCAAGATAAATAAGACAGGAAGGAAGGTGAGGACTTCCCACTGCGGAGCCACTGAACTGGGAGACAAGAGTCAAAGGAACTTAAAGCCAGGAGAGATCTTAAAGGGACCAACAGGGTCCCCAGTTTCTATGCTGCTTACCCTTTCCTGAGAATTTGATCTTTTTTAAAAAGGTCAGGACCTTCTCCCATAATGCACCTGCTCAAACACATATGCAAAATTTTCAGGGACCGTTCTCATAATGTTAAGTAGAGTTACTAGGTGATCGAGCGATTCTACTCCAAGCTGTACACCCAGCAGAAATGAAAAACTAGGTCCACGTGAAACCTTGGCTGTGAATGTCCACGGCTATCTTTTTTATACAAGTCGAAAGGTAGAAACAGCCCAAATGCCCAACTACGGATAGAGACAAGCAAAACGTGGTCCATCCACATGAGGAATATTACTCAGCTATGAACGGGGATAAAATGCTGGCACATGCAATCATGTGGACGAACCTTGAAAAGACGATGCTGAGAGAAGCCAGACACCAAAGAACACATGTTGCACAATTCCGAGCATATAAAGTGACCAAAATAGGTAAATCCGCAGAGACAGAGGCAGAATCACAGTTGCCAGGGGCTCAGGGCAGTGAATGGGGACTCATTTCTCAAGGGGTATGGGGTTTCCTCACTGGGGTGACAGTGGTTTGGAACTCGATAGCAATGAGGGTCACATAAGACTGTGAGTGTGACTTGTTTGCTTTAAAATGGCTCAGTTTATATTATGAGACTCTTGCCTAGATTACAATAAATCCCAGGGACCTCAAGCTCATCCCCAGGCCCCGCCTCCTCCTGGACTCCTGAATAAGGAACCCAAAGAAACATCGGTTTGGGTTTTTTCTTCCACAGCCGGAGAAGGTCCAGAGAGGAAGAGAGAGAAATGGCTTCCGCTGCTGGCTCTGGAGCTGGAGCAGGTTCGGCGCCCTTTCTACGTCTCTCCGGGGTGTTCTCAGGCCCCTCCCTGCCTCAGTTTCTCCATTCGTAAAATCGGAGACTTGGGCCAGGCCTGATATCGGCATCATATAATTTATGCTAGTATCTGGATAGGCATTGATTTCTATTCCCATGGTTGTGACTTTAATACGTACTATACAAGGAAAAAAAAAACAATTAGCAAGTCACGCCCAAGTGACAGAGCCTCGAATGCATGTGTTCACATACACAAGCACGTCAGCATTTTTCTGTTTTGGGAAATTTTTCATTCACTCTGTTTTCCGCTTTTAAAAATTGTTACATTTGCCACAGCAAACTCAGAAGGCTTGACTGTGTCTCCTTCCCTGGGGGGGGAACCCGTGCCTGCTGGTCTTGAAATAGATGTGTTTTGCCCCCCAAAGGCAAATAGTAAGAGAAGCAGCCTACAGGTGGTGTAATCACAGGAAAAAGAAGGCGGAGAAAGAACGTGACTAAATGGCGTTGCCCCAGCCAGGTCCCTCAGCTGGCTCAAGTGTCATCCTACAGACCAAAAGGTTATGGGTTCGATCCCCAATCAGGGCACATACCCGGGCTGTGGGTTGGATCTCCAGTCAGGACACTGGCGGGAGGCAACCCATCGATGTTTCTCTCATATCAGTGCTTCTCTCTCTCCCTCTCCCTCCTTTCCTATCTCTACAATCGATAAACAATCCTCCGGTGAGGAGGAAAACAAGACAGACCACGTGGCAGCTGTGACACTGTGACCCCATGACAAGCTCGGGGCTCCCCCTGCTCCCAGCACGGCCATTCAGGGTCCCAGCCTCAGACGCCGCAGGCAGACTGGCAACGAGACAGGTGAGGCTTTGAGAGGGGGAAACAAGCAAAATTCTGTCTCCAAAAAGCCCCACACTCCACACTCTGGTCGCTTAGCAGCCATGGGCTCTCCCAGGGGCCTGACCCCCTCCCTGGGACCTCCCCTGTCCTGGGTCCCCGTCGCCTCCCCGGACACCTAGACACCAGAGCCACCTTTCAGTGCCGAGCCCTGAGCTGGCTTCCCTGTGCAGGGGTGGGGAGGTGACTTTAAGGGAAGATTGTAGATGTGCCTTCTCTGGAGGAAGCGTCTGCACTTAAACCATGGCCAAAAAATGTCTTTAATTAAAGCCCAGGGGCATACCTCTCTGATGGTGGAATTTGAGGCCATGCGACAGGTGGCAGGGGGAGACATTTATGAGCGGGGGGGACTTTGCCAACATCTTCTAAGCACACCCCTGAGGCAGCTGCCAGCTCCTCCCACATTTGGATGAGCACATGGCTCTTTTCCTGGGCAAATTCATCTCGGGGGTGGCCAAGTTCCTCCTGGCTGAGCTGCCCGGCTGAGCTGGCCGAGCACTCCCAGCTCCCCCAGAAGTTACCTTGCCACACTCCCTCGGCCCGCCAAGGTCACCCCACACTTGATGTAGCGGAAGGAGCCCAAGACGTCGTGGCCAGGCAGACCAGAGTTTGAGTCCCTGCTCTCTCCTAGCTGGGCCGTGCAGTCACCGTGTGTTCCTCCGCCTCTCTGAGCCTTGGGCCCCCCATCTCCAGCCCGGGGCGAACACTCAGCCCTGCAGGTTACCGTGGGAAGCAGCCACGGCTGGATGCAGGCCCATCGCTAGTGACACACAGTAGGTAGTCAGTAAGCAGTAACTATTATTTTAAGGACAATGTGAATTCTTTCCCACACAGAGCCCACCAACTAAACTACTGGGAACTAAAAACAGACAAAGCCCAGTAAAATACAGTGCACTCACCCAGGTATGTGTGTGTGAGTGTGTATGTGTGTTTAGGGGGATGAGAAGTGAAAAAATGGAAGTAATGGGAAAGAAAAAAATAGTTTCTTTATTCTTTTGGTTACTGAATCAGGCAACAGTCTTACTTATTTCAAAAATCAACTTAAGTCCTGACTGGCATGACTCGGTGGTTTGGGTGTCACCCTGCAAACCGAAAGGTCAGCGGGTCAATTCTCAGTCAGGACACATGCCTGGGCTGCAGTCTGGTACCAGGTCGGGCATATACAAGAGGCAACCAATCGATGTTTCTCTCTCTTTCTCCCTCCTTTGCCCTCTCTCTAAAAAAAATTAAGAAAAATCTTTTTAAAAATTAAATTAAAAACTGCACACGGAGCGGGCCAGTGGCCTCATTCCCGGTCACTTCCACGTCCTCGTCCCTACCCCGGCCCGGACCACAAACCTGGGTCCTTCTTCACTGAATCGTTCAGTTTGTCAAGAGAGAAATGGAGGGCTATTTGCACACAGGCTGTTAGATTTCACCAAGCAACTGGTCTCCCCATCGCTAATGAACTTAATCCAGTGGCTTCGCCTTTTCTCTCCTCACCTGTTTTCCTCCTGTGGAATCCGCGGGGCCACCACAGAGAAACGGGTGCGGTAACCAGCCCAGCAGGCCTCCCCCCTTCTGCCGACAAACGGCATTAATGCCACAGATAAGGGTAACCCCCCCCATCCGCCACCACGAAACACAAGTAATAAAAACCCTATTTTGTTTTCAGCTGACCGCACAGTGCGTGTGCCAGGGTAAACAGATCTGCTTGCGGCTTCCCCCCACCTCCCGTCTCCGCCATCCCCGCCTCCCCTTCCATGTGGGGGCTGTTTTGCTATGTCATAACATTGTGTCTGTTTATCTGAAATATTTCCACTCAAAACACTTGTTTCTTCAACCCAACTGACATGTTGATACA